AGTGGGTACGCCGCGCGCGCGAACCCGATGAGTTATCAACGACATTGCTCAAATCGAGGTGTGAATCTTTGTATTTGAATATATGTTGCCGGGAATCGCAATCTTGATCCTGAGGAAGAGGCGATTGTCGCCACAAGTGCAGAAGACGAAGACTACGGCGTGCCAACGCGGTCAGTTGCATTTCTAGCGTTTTAAGAGCGCTTTGTATCTGTGGTCGAGCGTTGTGCGCGTTGTACGACGGCAACGACGACGAATCGCGGTGTGCTCTGCTCTCCAAAGTTTCTTCTATCACTGTGCCAACTTTGAGCGATTCCATTCCAAACGCGATGTTGCCGGCAAGCAGCATCGGCGTCGTGGCGTCTTGCCTCTAAGATAGCACTACGATCTTAGTTTCGCGTGCGTCGTGCGGCTAAGATGGCATACGATCTTAGTCTGGGGTGCGTCTTGCCTCTCAGATGGCACTACGATCTTAGTTTGGCGCGCATCTTGGATCGCGTCTCGTGACCGCTGTACGCCTCGCACATCAGCGCGACCTCCCTTTTCGTACTCTCCAAAGAGTGCTCTACTACTGTGCCAAGTCTTGGCCATTTCGTTTTCGAACGCAAAGCGGTCGATCGTCGAAACGCATCATAAGCTCTCTTGCCGTCGCCACTTAAGAGTATACGAGCGCAATTGGATATGTTTATCGAAGAGCGTTTATAGGCTTACTACTTGGCGCCTTCGTCTGTCGTCTACGTTGGGCTTGAGCTTCGAGGAAACGCGGCGGCCGTTGTCGGCGAGGAGCACGCCTTGCTCGGCGCTTGCGAAGTATTCCTCGAGGGTCTAGGGGCGCGTCGCAACCTCGAGCACGTACAAGAGCGCACGCTTGGTACCGAGCTTGATGTTGATGTTGGGCTCTTGATGAGCGCAAAAATCGGCGGCCGAGCGGACCCAAGTGCTCGCGCACACGCTTCGGGGCGACCTTGACCATGCGCTTGACGACGCGCATCGCTCTGCGGTTGACGACCTTGTTGGTGGCGTCCGTGACGCCCACAGCGAGCGCCGAGACAAGCGCCGCGTCGACCTTGACCGCGAGGCCAACTTGACGAGAGGGTTCTCATCGCAAGCGAGCGCCACGAGCGTCGGGACGACAGGCGCTTCAAGCGTGGTGACAACCCATGTCGACACCGGCGAGAGGCTGAGCAAGCCCGATGCTACCAGCGCCGCCGAGTTGCAAAGCGTCCATAAAGCTCCGTCGACGGCTGCACGGGATCTTGGGCCATCGCGACACCATGCTATGCGCTGCCAAGCGAGAGCAAGACCGTTGCTCGCGTGCACAAATGGAGGTCGTCGTCCGTGATGAGGGGGCGCGAAGGGCGTCCTCCACCGCGAGTACAGCCGACGCCGAGACCTTGGCACCGGTGAGAAACGCAACAAGCGCATCAAGGTTGGCCTCCTGGACGCCGCGCGTCGTCGACCCAGCCTTGTCCGTGAGCTCGGCAATGAGCGGGTCCATACTTCACAGTTGTGACCACTGCTCATGGTCACTGAAGTAATCTTCCGAACGGCGGTGCTGTCAAGCTACCCTGTAGCTTTGCGGGCCGTATCGGAGTCGATTTGAAACTCAACTGAAATGGGTGTTTCTATTGGCTCGTTTTTAAGTTCTTTATAGCCAATTACAAGACTAGTCTTATATAGTGTGCGTTCCAGTTCCCCACTACAACGAGTAGCAGCCCACAGACTCGCCAACCCCACGTAGCAGATATGTAGGCCTCTCTACACTCGCGCTAAACGGTGTACATGTCGTTTCCGACGCTGAACGTGGCGTAATCACGCGTAAATCCATTTTTCATTTTTTGAGGTGGAGGCACAATGGCTCAATTACTCTACATGAAATCGCGGGGTTTGAAAGCTCCAAGAACCCCAATTCCGGCTGCCACAGTTGGCTATGGATCTTGACCCGATGTGCGACCCGTTTGTTGGGCCCTGTCGTTGCTTGGGCGCTCACACCAAACTCAAACTGCCGAGCGTCGGTTTTCCCAAAATGCGGCACGATATTTCGATTGAAAATAGGTTGAAAGCGCGAAAACTGAGGACGCCATCTCGTTTTGTTGATGTTGGAGAGCGTGTTGCATGTGGCCGAGGAAGGCATCGCGCCTGCAATATGCTGAAAACGAGGCCTGGCTTCGCCGTACAGTATTTCAGTGTGACAAAATACACACTATATTCTAGCCAATCGCCAGTGTTCATGCCCAATTTCAAATTTTTCGTGGGCCATCGACGCGCAGGACCGCCAGCACGTATGTGGCAAGCCGTGCGCAGGCCTCGGGCCGCGGCTCATGCAACGTTGATGTAGGCGTGGCGCAGCTACAGCATCCGTGACGAGCCACCGATGCGGCCCTAGGGCGGAGCCCTGGCCAAATTTTTCGACGGCCTCTCGCGCGTCGGCCACGCGACCGCCTCCGTGAGATGCGCTTGTACAAGTTCCTCAGACCTGCGACGATGCTGGGAGCGACGCCACGATATCTAGCATCGTGAGCGCCACGGCATCACGCGCTTGCGCCTCCAGAACGGCCAGCGCTACGGCCGCATTCGACCTACGGCGGGTCGCGCGCTCGTCACTGCCGATGCACAACGTACATCTCTGGCGTCGACGCGCGACTCGTGTCTCGGCGCGAAGCTTGCATGCGGCTGGTCGCGCCGGCCGTCGCGCGCTGCACTCGAGTCCGTCGTCATGCCGAGCCTTTCATCTTCTTCGTCCTCCATGGCCGACTGCCGGTAGCTACCGTCAACACGCACTACTGACGGCGGCAAGACACGTGTCTTTGTAATCACCGAGCCACACAGAGATGCCAGGGACATCAATAGTCCGATACCACGCTCTATGCGCGGAGCCAGAGCGCTGGGATCATTTCAGTGGCCAAGGACAAGTCTGTCTAGAATTATGAAGGCTCAAAGCGCCATGCATTGGCTCGCGTTGAATATCTAGCTGATTTATGTTGGAATAAAACAATTGTTGACGAGTTTCAAAACAAATACTTGCAGGCCTTTGATAGCCACGTGCTGGATCGCTGTCACCATCTCGTCGTTCGGGCGGCTCGTGACGACCGCGACGTACTCGCTGAAGAGGATCCGGTCCTGTCGCAATGCAGCACTGCACCCGAGACGGACGCGATCTCTTGGACGTTGGACAATGCCATCGACGTCGTGAGCAGTCGCTGTATGAGGCACAGAAGCACTTCGCGCGATTGCTGGAGACTGCGAGCACGTTCTCCTGGACGAGGTCGTCCACCGTCGTGAGGAGCTGCGAGATGAGCTTGATCGATCGATCGAGCGGCGACCCATGCTCGTGAGAGATGCGCACCACCGGTCGCGCGGCGGACCTCGGGTAGGCGCGTCGCAAAGCGCAACAACATGCGAATCGATGAAAATTTCAAGCTTCGTGGGCGGTCGCTGGGTGACCTAGGCAACATCGAGGCAGACGAACCGAAACGGATCGACATTGGGCATGACACACTCGCCGAGCGTGCAGCGGTTCTTGCCTGAGAGCGAAATAAATTTTGCGTTTGTACGGCGATGGCACCGGCGTGCATAGCGACGTCGTAGTCACCGTCAGACTCGTCCAAGAGACAGTCATCGGGAGAGCCTTCCTAAGTTACATATTTAAAGAAGCCGTTGTCGAGTGCCGGCGGGAGGAACGCAATCACCCAGAGAACGCATTGGCAGATTGCGTCCTTGGAGTGGCGCGTGATCTGAATGATTTCGTCGCGCAGACCGTGGACAAGCGCATCAAGGTGCATGAGCTCCTCGCAGAGACCTTGAGAAAAACTCGACCGCGCGACCGACGACGACATGCTGCAGCCATCGCACGAGGTGCGAGTAGTGGTCTTGGTCCTTGACGAGCATACCACGCGCTTTGGGCGGGCCCATGTGACCCTCGGAAATCGGGTCGAGGAGCGGCGTCTGCAGGCGGGAGCGGTCGAGCCCGTCGTCTGGTGGATCGGGTCGCGCATGCCACCGAGCAAGATAGAGGCAATTGAGGCCATCTCGGGGCCGCGTAATATCAACAAGCGCAGCGTGGCCAGCCTCCTTCACGCGCGGGTGCGAGTCCGAGAGCGACGCCATGAGTTTGAGAATGACCTCGGCAAGTTCGAACCTAGCAACTTTGGCGCCCACGAGCCCATGGCGCCAAGAGGCAGAATGCTGGGTCGTCGACAGCGCGGAAGATCGAAGGCATACAGAATGAGAACCGTGCGCCACGAGGTTGTGCATGATGACCTTGGACGTGCCGTTGGCAGCCATGAGCGCGGCTGCGATGGTGTCTGCAAACGACATGAGGAGGATCGGGAGGATTACAATCACGTACAATTGTACAGCTCGAAAAGGAGGCCGAGGCGGTCGCAGAGGCGCTTCATGACGGACCAGGCGCCTTGGCAGGCGTTGGGTGGGATACCTTCATCGCACTCTTGAGGCACAGAGTGACCAAAAGCTGCTGGTGGGCAGCGATGCCATGGACCTTGACGACGGTCGAGACATGCGGTCACCAAACGTCTCGCCCGTCGTCGCAATCAGTCGTTATCGCGAGTCAACCGACTTTCATCCTACCGCAAAGCATGAGCGGCGATCCACCGCACGTTGGGCGGCCTTGAAGGAGATCGAGAGCGTCGCATGAGCAGCTGCCGGCGCACGACCGGAGCGCCAAATGCATCGCAAAACTTGGCCATGAGCGTCGGCACAATCGTTTCGGGAAACTGCTGCATGCCATTGGCCAACGCCGCAGCAGGCGGTCCGAAAGAGGCGAGATGCGACTCGTTCTCGGCGCCATAGTCAAAGTGAGGGTAAACATCGTCGAGAGTATCGGCGTGGACGCAGCCAAGGTCGCCTTGGTGATTTTGCCTTGGCCGTCAAATGGCGCTTCGTGTGTTGCCTCCCGGCGCGGATGGCGAGCCTGTACGAGCGTCGAGAGCAGGCTGCGGTCATTGACGATCCAACGACAAGAGTGCACCAGCGCAGATTTGCTGCAAGACAACGTCGGCGATACTCGAGACGTTCAAAGTTGCTGGCGTCTCGAGGCATCGTTGCCACGAGCGACTGGATGCGGTTGCACAAGACGAGCGCTTCGCCGTTGCCGACAGCAGCAAACGCGAGAGCGTCGAAAAATCACGCGATGCGGCGTAGAGCTTGGTCCCTATGTACGCATCCGTAAGACCCGGCACCGTGTGAAAAGGACGTTGACGTGGTCACGCACCGTCAGCTCCATCTCATCGTCCTTGGCCGCCTTCGCAGCCGGCGGCGCGAGGTCGACACAAACCAGCCTTGAGACGCGTGCACTAGCTCACAAAGCCGTCCTTGCGTGCGCCGTGCATGACAAGCGGGTGGTGCGACAGCACGAGAAGCGCGGAAAGAGCGCGAAAATTTCTACCTCGTGTGTCGCGGGCAAACACGGAGCCTAGTCAATCTGTGAGACGCTAATAGCGCGAAGATGCGTGGTACCTTGCGCCTAACGCGAGCCAGCACTGCGCAGATGAACGAGGTCCGGCCAAGCATGACGTGGACCATGCGCGTGCGGCCACGGTGGGTGACTGCCGAGAGCTCGAAGCTTCGGTCGTTGGTAACTTCAGCGCATATCGCATCTAAAGCGACGTCGAGCGAGAGGTTCGCGACGGGCGAGAGGTTCTTGATGTCGTCGCGGCCAGCGGTCTCGGTGCTGGCTTCCGTGTGCAAGCAGCAGGACGTCAAGCGTGACGTGCTGGAGAAGAGAGGCGTTTGGCTTTGCGCTGCGAGATGTCGCGCACGCACCGAACGCGACGCGGCGCGCACAGGGCCTACTGCTGCTGCGGCGGCGGCGGCGTGGCTCGTCGTCGCGGCGCCCAATTTGGAATTTCCCTTGCTGTTGTGTCCAGGTAGTATTATCCGGAGAGTTCGACTCGACACTGCGGCCGCGACACGGGTCGAGCCATTGTCCGCACTCCTCGCACCTGCGCTCGACGTCGTCGAGTTTGTCTGAGTACATAGTGCGTCGACTATATACCTCACAGCGCATAGTCGCTCGACGTAAACGCAATGGCCTTTCTACCGCAACGGCGCCGATGGCTGCCACGCCGCTCTCAGCGTCACCTTCGTCGTTCCTGGGGTGGCATCGGTCCCCGACATGATAATTGACCCATGTCCTCGAAGACCCTCGATGACGTAGGCCGTGGCATTCGCATGCTGCATGAGGACGCAGCAATCTTTGTTTAGCTGTTGAGCCAATGCCCTGTATTGCAGGGATGCGTGGCGAGAGAAGAGCATCGGTCACACGAGTTTCTCCGTCCACAGCGCTTACAACCGCCATGCCGTGCGACCGAGGCCCTGCGCGCAAATTTCGGAATGGGCAGCGCTCAGGGCTTCTACACTTCTCTTTTAAAAGCACTGCATTTCGCCTTTGTCGTGCTCGCTTTTACACTTGTTTTTACACAACTGCACCTTTGCGCCAAAATGGGACATTCTCCGAGTGCCACGTCATACTAATCGACATTTTGCGACCTCCGACATAAGAGGACGCATAAATACCATCACAGGCGATATGACGCTAGATCATCGCGAGTGCGGAAGCCCGAGCATTGTGAGCTACAAGCACGTCGCTCCAATCGCTCTACAGGATGTTGTTGTTGGAATGAGTCTATTGAGATATTATTTCCTACAGGTTTTTCTGTTTGTGTTTACACGGTGCGTTGCGAGGCGGGCGTCTTTTGGCGAGGGTGCGTATTTTTGGTGATTTGTTGTGGGAGGTTTTCCTTCGAGGCTAAGTGAGTAACGACGCCCTCTTGGCCAATCCCGAACGGGTTACGGCACGGCGGTTCTTCCGATTGGGTACACCGCGCAGAGGCAGGAGGTCGGCCAATTGAATTTGCATGCGCGCAGCTGGATTTGAACCCGCTATCCGTTCGAGCTCGAATTTAAGTGGAACGCCTCGACCCTCGCTCTACAGGATGTAGTATTTTCATAGTGTCTTCTATCGCTGTGCCAACTTTGTTGGGCGATTCCATGTCAGGCGTGATGTTGTCGACAAATGGCGTCGGCGCCGGGGCATCCTGCCGCTAAGATGACACTACGGTCTTTGTTTGGAGTGCCTCTAAGATGGCACTACGATCTAATTCGTGCCTCTCAGATGGCACTACGATCTTAGTTTGGCGCGCATCTTGGATCGCGTCTTGTTATCGCTGTACGCCTCGTACGTCGATGCGACCTCGCTTTCCGTGCCGTCCATAGCGTCCTATACTACTGTGCCAAGTCTTAGCCATTTCGTTTTCAAACGCAAAGCGCTCGACTCGCGCGGCCTGAGCTCGCGGATGCTGCACCGGATATCCGGATAATATGGCTAATAATACGCAAGTTGTCGCGGTGCGGTGCGTTCTCGATTGCGATTTGATGGCCAGCGTTGGTCAAAATACAAAATGGCTCCTACGCCGTACCGTGATAAAGTTTGCTTTGCTTAGCACGGAGCACCAAGTTGCACCGTCGTGCGCGGCCTACAGCGCTCGAAACTCGTGTCCAAAGTGATGCCGAATTGCACTATTTGCGGCATCATGACGAGCTTGTACATGGCACATGCCATTTTCAAGAAAGGATACGATGGAAGACACAACCGCAGCCTTCATGAAGAAGCTTGGCGACGCTCTCGTTTACGAAATGCATATATCCATGTCAGTTTCAGTCCCAGTCATTGCTAAAATTCAATTTAGAAGGAGATGGAAACGCGCCACTAAATCTTCGCGACGAAACGCACGTTTGTTCCCGCGATTCTTGTGTGCCCGTCCTTTCCATGGCCCCGTACGAAGTCACGGCTCTCGATGTCTGGGCGCTAACGATCACGATTTCGGCGCAGTCGCTTCCGATCTGGCAGCTCGGCTACTCGGCGGGCTTTGCGAGCTACTCGGTTGGCATGGGCCTCGTCGGCCTCGCCTACATCTGCCTCATTTCGTGTCTCGGCGAGCTTATGAGCGCGTTTCCGTTCGCCGGCGGCGCCTACGGCCTTGCGCGCTGCACGCTCGGCTTTAGCGTCGGCTTCCTCGTCGCGATCTGCGAGATCATCGAGTACGTTGTCTACTCGGCCACGGCCATGGTGTCGTTCACAACCATCTTTGTGTGCATTGCCCCCGACTCGGCCGGCTTGGAGCCACTGGTCTGGGCGCTACTCTACGCGTTCAGCCTCTTCGTGTACATCCGCGGCGATCGCTGGTTCTGGTACGCCAACTTCGTGCTCGCGTTGTCGTGCCTCCTTGTCACCGTCGTGTGGCTCCTCGGGTCCCTTGCGTTTCTTGACTTCGCCACGTACGCGCCACCCCCGACGCTCGTGCTTGGCGGCGCACACGGATTTTTCCGAGCGCTGCCGTCGGCCACGGGCTTCTTCCTCGGCGTCGAGGCCGTAAGCACCGCGGCGGACGACGTACAGAGCCCCCGCGCCACGATTCCAAAAGGCCAAGGCTACGGCATGCTGACGCTCTTTGTGACGGGCGTGCTCTCGGGTGTCTTTTGCGGCGGCCTACCCCCCGGCATTGCAGGCATCCCCAGTGTCGCAGCCACCACCGACTCGGGTAGAACGTTCTCACTGAAATGGCCCTCACAGTTCCGTAGGGTTTATGGCCATGTTTTCCATAAGTGAGCAAACGGCTTGCGTGTTGTCGATTCCGGGGGCGATCTCGACGGCGTTTGGCTTTATTTTTGCCTTCACCAAGCTCCTCACGGCCATCTCCAAGTCCAAGCTCATTCCTGCGGGCTTCCACCGCCAATACTTTATCTACAAAACCCCCGCCGTCGCCTTGGCCACCGGCATACTCGTTGCCTACTGCATCTGCCTCCTCGTATACTACGTCCCAAGCGTCATGAACCACATTTTTAACGTGTGCTGCCTCAGCGCCATGACCGCATACTCGACGCAGTGCTATGGCTACATCTACGTCAAGCGCCACTTCAAGCACATCGAGCGCCGCTACAAAAGTCCGTTTGGCGTTCCTGGCGCGATCTTCTCGATGGCGGTCTGGAGCCTCGTCATCCTCGGCGTGATTGGCTTTCAGGACGACGACGGCATCGCGCTCTGCAGCTACGTTATCCTCGCAGGCGTCGCGTTAGTCTACTACCACGCCTACGGGAAGCACCACCAGAGCTTCTCGGACGAAGAGAAGGTGCTCTTCATCACCCACGTCGCCAAATGTACGTCTTGCGTGGGATCGATCATGTAAAGTGACATGTGTCTAGTCAACGCCGGCAAGCGGTCCAAGCCGTCGACGAAAAAGTCAGCCAGCGCAGTGTCGAGCAAGCAGTCAGCCAAGACCCGGCGCTCGATCATCAAGGTCGAGGTGCGCACCAAGTCGAGCACAACTGGCCAAGGCTCAGCGGCGGGCAGTAGCAAGGTCGCCGTGAGTGCGGTTAGCGAATCAGCGCCTGAATAACTTTGCTACAAGGCCAGTACATGGATTTGCCTCCATGACTGCAGTGAAAATGACGTGGCATCTTGTACTGACTTCCAGTACAGTCGGTCGCCGCGGCGACGTTGTCGACCCACGCGTCTGAGAATGAAGTCGCCAACATTAGGAGCCATCCTGGTGGGATACTGCACGAGTGAAGAGCGCAGAATACATGCACGGCTGAGTCGCATTACGCTAAGCGCTTATTTTTTGGGCGACGGTGACTGGCGCTTGACGGGCGTGCGCGACCGACTCGAGCTCGACGAGCGCGAATACCGGCGACGACGCGACCGGCTGCGGCGAGGACTGCCGCCACGACGGTCCATCGATCGACGCGGACTAAAGCTGCGCCGACGGAAATTGGGACTGCGGCGACGGGGGCTGGGGCTACGGCGCCGGCCCATGGGACTGCGTCGTCGAGGGCTTGAGCTCCGACGACCACGGCTCGGACTGCGACGACCACGGCTCGGACTGCGACGACCACGGCTCAGACTGCGACGGCGAGGACTGAAACTACGACGGCGAGGACTACCGCTCCGACGACGAGGACTGGGGCTCCGACGACGAGGACTGGGGCTACGACGACGAGGACTGGGGCTCCGACGACGAGGACTGGGGCTCCGACGACGAGGACTGGGGCTACGACGTCGAGGGCTAGCGCTTCTGCGGCGAGGACTGGCGCTACGAAGTTCGCCTTCCGGGCTGCGGTGACGAGGGCTACGACGGCGCAGGCTTGCCTCGCGTTTGTTCGGGCTCGGGGTGCGACGCTTGGGGCTAGCACGGGTACCGGGTGCATTTTCGTGCGCGCCGTTCTGGCGGCTGCGGGATCGGCTCTTCCGGTCGCTCGCTGGCTCTCGACGAGCGGCCCGCGCACTTTCGTCGTCGCTGGAATCGGAGGACGCGTCGGACGACGATGAACTCGATGACGACGAGCTGGATGACGGAGACCGCTTGCGTCGCTTGCGCTTCTCCTTCTTACCCGAGGAAGCATCGCGCAGGCGGCGACGCTCTGTGGTCTCCTTGGCCTGCTGCTTGCGCTCAAACTCTTCTTGCCGCTCGAGCCGCTGCGCCGCTTGCGCATCGAAGTCAAAGCTCGCACCGTCGCGGTACGTGCTGCGAATGCCAAACGCGTCCTTGAGTTGCGCGATCTGCTTCTCCTTCTGGACCGCGCGGGCGTGGCTGCTCGCGCCCTTGTCGTTGCTGTCTCCGTCCTTCTCCGCCTTGGCCTGGAGCTGCTTGCGCAGGGCGTCGCACTTGTCGTCGATTTCGTCGTCATCACGCCTCGACCCTCGCTCTACAGGATGTAGTATTTTCATAGTGTCTTCTATCGCTGTGCCAACTTTGTTGGGCGATTCCATGTCAGGCGTGATGT